GTAATCTTTTAGTTTTAAGTCGGTTTGAACAATCTGGATAAGCACAAGTAAGTACCATTTGATTAGCCGTCGTACCTACAATGACTGTGTTGTGCACTGTGTAAACAATGAGTGACGTATACGCGCGAGAGATCACTTCCAGTGCTTGCGTAAACTACGCCAGAGCACGTACACACCTCACGCACCGGATGCCTTGTACACGCCCAACGACAGTTGGACATAGTGGTGAATTAGAGGTAAAAAATTATATAAATACTGTTCGGTTTCTGGCACAAACCGATCGTTTCGTGTCTTAGGACATCAATGTGTTGTCACGAGCCGCAGGGTTTAATTTGGATTTGTCTGTGCATGTTTTTTTTACTCTCATAGATTTTGTTACCATTGCCATCCATTATAAATATAAAAATATAAATTTCAAGTCATTTTAAATGAGCCTTGGCCCAGAGAAAACGCCTGCGCTTCTGGATCATGTTTAGATATGGCTTCTTTTTTGACCTATAGAGTTTTAGCCGGCAACAGCGAATGGCACGGTGGATTGTGTTCACCGACAATGTTTTCTGGAAGTATTCCTGAGCCCATGTTGTGATTTCCATTACAGTAGCATTCCTGTATGTGATGCAGTGCCGTCTAAGGGCCCGAAGATCACGGGCATCCAGTATGGTTTTCCGGCCTTGACCCTTTGAGATTTGAAAAGGGAGAAAAAAAAGTTTGGCAAAAGGTGGGATCGAACCTGTGTCGATCACATCAAAATGTCAAGGGTAAGCGCTTATCCATCTGCACCACTAGAGCTGATGATTTACAGCCACTTTTAACTAAATCTAAACAGATACCCCGTATTTTTCATTCCATAGTAAGGGAAATTCACACAATACATTTAAACTGAGCTACATTAATACCATCTCCGAACTTTCTACCACGACTCTGCTGTTCTTCGGCTGGTTCTTCCTGTATACGTTGATTGACAGATGTCTCGTCCAGTCAGCGGTGAGTAATCCCAAACCAATGGCGCTGTCTCAAACTATACCTACCTTTTCCGGTTTGTCTGATTTGTCGTTGTGTTTTCTTACTTGTTAATTTGTTTTCGGATTTGTCGTTGTGTTTTCTGACATGTTATCTTGTTTTCGAATTTGTCATTGTGTTTTCTGACTTGTTATAATGTTTTTTGAATTGTTGTTGTGCTTTCTGAATTCTTATTTTGTTTATTAGACTTGCATTTGCGCTTGTAATTTGTTATTTTGTTTTCAGAATTGTGATTTGCTTTGCACTTCATGGCCACCGTAGTTTTCACCTTGTGTGGTCGCACCCACTCCCCCTTGTGGGCATTCTCTGCTAGGTCGACTTGGTACTCCAATTTGTTTTATTTATTTCCCTTCTGCTTCGTTAGTCATTATCATTCTAGCCGTTCTAGTTATCAGCAGTTTTATTTTTTAATTTTATTTATTCATTTATTTTTATTTCTTGTTTTTGTATTAGTTTTTCATATTCAGTATTATTTTTGTTTTACTTTATTATCTTTTATTACTTTTATAATTCTTTTAGTTTGTTTGTTTTGTTCCCTTTTTTAAATCAGGGTTCTCTCCCCCTCTTCTCTCTCACTTTACCACTCACTTATTTAAATTTAGTTTAAACAGTGTTTGAATTTTTGTTCACCTATAGGTAACACTCCCTCTAGTGCTTAGTTGGTGAAGTGACAGTTGCCTCCACGGCGGATCACAGTGAGCTGCCACGGGATCCAGACTGAATCACCTCAATCCATCATTAAGCCTAGCCATAGAATACTGACCCATCCGGCTAGCGAAACCCCAAAATCAGGTTGCTCCTCAATCTTTAAGGTAATTAGCCGCTCCTGCTATCCAAGCAAGGCTGCCACATTAGATGTTATGACCCAGCAGTGCCCTCTACTCGGTAAGCCCTGTCATAACCCCTAACAGCAGTAAAAGGCTTAAACCTGCTCTCTCCTCTATCTCTCTCTGTGTTTTGATTTGTTGGTTTGTTTGTTTTTCATTTTGTTCTGTTTTGTTTGCCTAGAGACCAAACCTTTGAGAATCATCAGGGAAGGCTGAGTAATAAATTGACGACCCAAGCTGCCAAAGTCTTTACATGATCACGCTGTCAACAATCTTAGTTAGATCCTTTCCGGTGCCCCGCCCCCCACAACAATTAGACACACCTTGCCATTCACGGCCGAGATAACAGGTGTCTGGTCTACACTCCACAAACT